GAGTGCTGGTGCTGGACCCTGGAGCCAACCACGGAGCGTTTCAGCGAGCAGGGTCCAAGCAAGGGCAGTAGAGGGCCGGATGAAGTGGGCAGGAACCGTTTCCCAGGTGACATCCTGCCTGTGCTCATCACGCCGAGGGGTGGCAGTGTTGCACAATCACACAGATTCATTGTCACTGTTGAGTGCAGTGTTCTTAAGAACGGACCTGGCGGCCAGGCACGATGGCTCATGCCTGTAATCCCAACACTTTGAGAGGCTGCAGTAGGCAGATCGCGAGGTCAGGAGTTCGAGACCAGCCTGGCCAACATGGTGAACCCTGTCTCTACTAAAAATACAAAAAATTAGCCAGGCGTGGTGGCAGGCATCTGTAATCCCAGCTACTTGAGAGGCTGAGGCAGGAGAATCAGTTGAAACCAGGAGGTGGAGGTTGCAGTGAGCCAAGATTGTGCCATTATTCTCTGGCCTGGGTGACAGTGCAAGACTCTATCTAAAAAAAAAGAAAAAAAATAGGTGGTGGGGGGGGGAACCTAGGCTTGTTGTGCTTGTTTTTTGGTTTTGATTTTCCAGGCTTTGAGGGAAAGTTGACCCATCCTGTTCATTGTGCTCTTGAGGAGGAAACAAGGCAAATCCCCATCCTTGTGAGCAGGGGTGTGCAAACCTGTCAGTCTGAGATGGCTAGAACCACATCCTCTATAACTTGGGTGGGGGGGGAATATATATGTACACACACATACAGATTAAAAAGATAAAAATATATATACACACACACATACAGGAATCCTCCCTTATCTATGGTTTTGCCTTATACAGTTTCAGTACAGTATAATAATCTCGTGTGCTTAATTTATAAATTGAACTTTATCATTGGTCAGCATATGGATTCTAGCTCAGTAGGTCCAGGTGGGGCCCTAGATGTGCATTTCAGGCCAGGTGCGGTGGCTTATTCCTGTAATCCCAGCACTTTGGGAGGCTGAAGTGGGAGGGTCACTTGAGCCCAGGAGTTGAGACTAGCCTGGGTAGCAACGACATTTTGTCTCTACCAAAATTTTAAAACATTGACTGGGTGCAGTGGCTCACACCTGTAATCCCAGCACTTTGGGAGGCCAAGGTGGGCGGCTTAGCCAACATGGTGAAACCCTACCTCTACTAGAAGTACAAAATTTAGCTAGGTGTGGTGGCATGCACCTGTAATCCCAGCTACTTGGGAGGCTTAGGCACGAAAATCGTGTGAGCCTGAGAGGTGGAGGTTGCAGTGAGCCGAGATCATGCCACTGCACTCAAGCCTGGGCGATAGAAATGAGACTCCGTCTCCAAAAAAAAAAAAAAAAAAAAAAATGTGTGGCATGTACCTGTGGTCCCAGCCGGGGAGGTTGAAGCTGCAATGAGCTGTGTTCCCACCACTGCACTCCAGCCTGCAGGCCTGGGTGACAGAACAAGACTGTCCCCCTGCCCTCCCCCCAAAGAAAGCATTTATGACAGGCTTTCTGGTGATAATGCTGCTGTTGGTTCAACGCTTCTCTTAGAGTAACGTTCTAGAGTTTGGCAGTCAAATTGTTTCTGAAAGGGAACTTGACTTTGTACAAAACTTTCATCTTTCTCCCTCCCCCACCCCACTGCTTTATTTTTTTGAGACAGGTCTTGCTCTGTGGCCCAAGCTGGAGTGCAGTAGCATGATCACAGCTCACTGCAACCTCCAACTGCTGGGCTCAAGTAATTCTCCCGCCTCAGCCACACGAGTGGCTTGGACTACAGGCATGAACCACCATGTCCAGCTAATTTAAATTATTTTGTGGAGATGAGGTCTCCCTGGGTTGTTCAGGCTGGTCTTGAACTCTTGAGCTCAAGCAATCCTCTCTGCTCGGCCTCCCTAAGTGCTAGGATTATATTTCTATATAAACTGTGCTGGCTGGGAGCTAAGGAAAAGGAAGACAGGGTCCTGCATGTGGGTTTTTGTAATTAGCAAAAGCCCAGCCAACACTGGCTTCTGTTAATTTTTTTTTTTAAGTCTTGTGAAGCTTAGATGGGAGGTTTGAGCAAAAAAGAGGATGCTGTCCTCTTTGTGGGATTTTTGCTGGTATGCAGAGATCTGGACCATCATGGAGGGAGTCCTCAGCACAGGGATGGGATTTGGTTCCTGCAGGGCCTCAGAGAAGCATGGGAGAGCCCTTCAGGTGTTAGGGGAAGATGATTTTGAGTTGCTCCTTCACTTTGTTGAATGTCTCTGAAGTCCAGTTCTGGGGCTTGGCAGGAATGTTGCCATTAGCAGTGGTTGCCCTTCAGCTTGTCTGGGATGTGTCCCAAGATGCTGGAGTTGGCTGGGGCCATCTGGACTGGGGCTGGGCTTTCCACATCCATGGAGCCACTACTAGGACTGGGAGCAACAGAATGAGTCTGGGGGTGCTGCCAGAGAGGCACTCTAGATTGTTTTTGGGATAGCACAGGTGCCCACCTGCAGTTCTCAGCCACTGAGGGGCTAGGAGCAGAACCGTCCTAGTGGAGGTGATTGCTAACTCTGAGGTGTACTTAACATGAGCCAGCTGCTGTTAGAGGATGAGCTATGTCCTGTCACTCCCACTTTACAGAGGGGATGCTGACACAGCTAGTGAGAGGTGGGGCTGGCACTTGAACCTCTATTCTTTAGCTATAGAACTGTCATTAACCACTATGCTATGCCTAAAATCTGAGGAGATTTCTGGTAGGATTCTTTCTCCTGCAGCCCAAAGGAAAAAGGAAGCCCCAAGAAATGTTTTATCTTAGGGAAACCTTACTGGAACCACTTCCTTCCCTCAGGCCTGCCCTGGTTTTTGTAGTGACTCTAAGGATGTCTGTCATGCAAGGATGTGTTACCTATATGGCCCCATGCCATGAGAATGATTAGGTCCCTGTGAAGTTTAAAAAAATCCTGTGGCCGGGCGCGGTGGCTCAAGCCTGTAATCCCAGCACTTTGGGAGGCCGAGACGGGCGGATCACGAGGTCAGGAGATCGAGACCATCCTGGCTAACACGGTGAAACCCCGTCTCTATTAAGAAATACAAAAAACTAGCCGGGCGAGGTGGCGGGCGCCTGTAGTCCCAGCTACTCGGGAGGCTGAGGCAGGAGAATGGCGTGAACCCGGGAGGCGGAGCTTGCAGTGAGCTGAGATCCGGCCACTGCACTCCAGCCTGGGTGACGGAGCGAGACTCCGTCTCAAAAAAAAAAAAAAAAAAAAAAAAAAAAAAAAATCCTGTTAGATACTAGAGATACACAGTAACTGCCATATATTGATTACTTTCTACATGCAAGGCACTTGTACAGAGGTTGAAAAGATGTCTCCATTTAAGCGTCCATTTAAGCGGGGGAGTGGTGGAGTCTTCTGTGAAGGTAGACCAGCACATGGTTTGCATTGCCACAGAGACATTGGGAAAAGCCTCTAAAATCCAGAGGAGTGCATGCGTATAGGCAGTCTGGGGCACGTAGAAGATGTCAATGTGTCCAGAGATAAAGGGGTCAGCATGTGCTAGGGCACTGGGTGTGAGCAGATAGTGGTGGGATCGTGGGTATGTGAGGAGAGGAGACGTTGCATGGGGTTAAGCGCCAGGTTAGGAGGAGAGTTTAGGTGTCCTGTTAAAAATGACAGTCAGCTGGGCATGGTGGTGTGCACCTGTAGTCCCAGCTATTCAGGAGGCTGAGGCTGGAGGATTGCTTGAGCCCAGGGATTTGAGGCTGCAGTGAACCATGATCACACCACTGCACTCCAGCCAGAGCAACAGATGAGATCCTATCTCAAAGAAAGTGAGAGTCTGTTCCCATGATCAGTTTGGATTTCTCAGGCTCTTGGAGCTAGAGGCAGGGAGGACAAGGTAGGAAGTGTTGCAGATAAGATGTAATTAGAGAAAAGGCTGGTGCGGCAGTGAGGTTGGAAAGTGGTTGTCTGGTGATTCCTAAGAATAGGATCCAGGGCCTCCTTGGTATCTGCCCATTGCTTTGCAAATCTTCCCTCTTCAAGGCCAGAAAGGATTGCTTGTAAAGTATACTCAGAAGTAGCCCTAGATTCCTGCTTTCCCAAACAGCCTCTGGAAAGACCAAATTTCCTGGAGTGAGAGACTCATATTTCCCTTTGTAGGCAAAAATTCCATCAAGAAGGCGGGCGCGGTGGCTCGCACATGTAATCCCAGCACTTTGGGTGGCTGAGGTGGATGGATCACTTGAGGGAGGCCAGGCGTTTGAGACCAGCCTGGGCAACGTGGCAAAATCCCGTTTCTAGTAAAAATGCAAAAATTAACCGGGTGTGGTGGCAAGCACCTGTAATCCCAGTTACTTGACTGGCTGAGGCATGAGAATAGCTTGAACCTGAGAGGTGGAGGTTGCAGTGAGCTGAGGTCGTACCACTGTACTCCAATCTGGGTGACACAGTGAGATTCCATCTCAAAAAAATTTTTTTTAAATGTTCCTTTCAAATGAATGAATAAATAATAACCCTCCAAAAAAATTGCATCAAGAAAAGAGGCAGCTACCACAACTCATTTCCTGAAAATTTGCTTTGGTGGTTGGCATGTTTTTTGAGCAAAGTGTAACCTATGAGCCTTACCCCCATGGAATGGGGTGGGGCAGAGGGGGCATTTAAGCCTGTTAGAGCCAGGGCCAGAAGGAGCCCTCGAGTAATTTGGTGACTTGTGCTCTTCTGTCCTATGTTTAGATAATGCTCTAATGTGTCTGCCCCTGAAAATGTCTCTAATTTTGCATTTTTCTCCTGTGGAGAATGTGGAATGTAGGGGAGCTATGAAGACTAGTGTGTTTCTAAATGCCTCGGACAGAGCTGCCCACCACAGTTCGTGCCCTTTCGTACATGCCTCTTTTAACCTTTGGAACTGGGCCACAGGCTGTTGTCTATAATGGCAAGGTTAGACCCTTTAGGGGAGCACTCAAGGAGCACCACCTGGTGAATGAGGAGGGATAGTCCATGGCCGTACCAGGAAGGATGGAGGAAGCATTTGGGGTGCAGGAGGCATAAGGGACATGGAGCTGGAGGCTGGGCGGCCTCTGAAGCATAGCTGAGCTCTGCACATGCCAGCAGGCTAGAAGCAGGAAAACACACAAGTTCAAGCTGGCTTTTCATGTATTGTGTACAAAAACATCAGATGCAGGATGAGTTTGTTGGGATTGCCAGGGGCTGACTGGAGTGTTGCTGGGAAAGAGCCTCAGCTCCGCTCCAGGTCCTCCACCAGGTAGGACTGGGTCTCCCTTAGGGCCTGGAGGAACAAGTCCTTGCAGGTCCAGTTCCAGGCTGGCATGAAGCTGAAGAGCTTCCGCATCTTGCTTGGGTTGGTGGACTCGGCCTGCACTTCCTGGTACTGCTGATCCTTCAGGACCGTCCCGTACAAGGCATCCAGCAGCCCCTCAACGTCTGTGACCCTCGCGATAAGCGCAGCCCGGTGCTGGTCTACAAAGTGCAGGCCTGGGGGTGGGAGGAGAACATGAGCCAGCAGCCAGGGTGTGGGGCCTGTCCCTGCTGAACTTGAGTTCTTCAGGAATTCCTCTGCAAGCCTAGGAGCGGGGGCTTTACGGGGCGGCCCAAGAGGACCCCACATGCAGTGGGATGTGGGTAATATTGTCTCCCTTCCCCGGCAGGGTGTGGGCTGGTGGGTGGGGTGCGCAGGGTTGCCAAGCTGTGCCCTGCCCTGCCCTGCCCTGGTTGCGGGAGCACAGATGCAGGCTGTGCGGGAGTGTAGTGGGGCTGGGCTGGGTGTGGAGGCCTCACCTGGCTTGGCTGCTGACCGAGGAGGGGCCTGGATCCCAGCTGGTGCAGCTCCAGAGCCTGAAAGGATATGAGCCAAGTGGTCCCCTTCCCTTCCCGCCGTGTGGCGGGGTCCTCTCATTTGGGAGGCCGAGCACGGGGAGCCTCCTTTCCGGTAGAGTAGCTTTGTTTAGGGGTAGGAGGAACAGAAAGCGGAAGAGCCCGAGGGGTAAGTGCTGGTGTGGGTGGAGGGGAAGACCGGGTGGAGGGGAACGGGGGCGGCTTACCCTGGTGCGTGGCCGCCTGCAGCTGTCCGGCCGTCTCATGCAGACCCATGTCGCGCAGCACGTTAGCGGTGAGCTCGGCGCCGTAGGCCTCCAGGTAGAAGCTGACCAGCTTGTCGGTGAGGTCCAAGGCGTCCATGGACAGCAGCGCGCCCCTTGGGATGCGCCCGTAGCCCTCGCGCAGCGGCACCGACAGCAGCTTCAGCTTGAACTTCTTGAGCTCCTCGGCTGTCAGGTTCTCCAGCGCATCCAGGATGGCATCGCGCGCGCGCCCCATGGCTCCGGGATCCCCGGCCGCTGCCGCCGCTCACCCGGCTGCTGCAGCCGACCAGGAGGAAGTCAGCTCCGGGGCGGAACCTGGACTCCCCGCCTTCCTCCCACTCTGGTCTCCCGACTCCCCGCCCCGGTCCGTTGCCCTCCAGCAAAAGGCACTCCCTGACTACGCCCTTGGTCCCTGCCCACCCAGGCCTCTGGATTGGGGCCCCAGGCCGTCGGGGGACGCCAGGATCGCGCCCTCCAGCTGGCCTGTGAGGTGGGACCTGGGAGGAGACCCGCAGAGGGGCTCATTGGTGGCGCCTGCTTGTCTCTGGGCTTGCACCAGCGGGTACAGACCAGAAACCTGGGCTTGCTCTCACTGGGTTTATTGGAGCACCTAGGCTTAGGATCTCGTATTTCTAGAACCCCCGAAACCTCTGCGGCTCCCCGAACCTTAGGATTCTCTCCCACATGTCATAGAATCTTGGAATCATGACAGCTAGATGCATGAAGCTCCCTCAATTCCACATGCTGGAGAAAAATGAGGTGTAAAAAAGGGTAGGGAGTGCAAAGCTCTCTTGAGCTTCAGTTTCATTTTCTACCACATGGGGATGATAACCCTCAGGTGCTTATAAATATTCCAGCATAACATGGCAGACCCGATGGCTCCTGAAACCCTGCCAGATGCTTCCTAGGGGAGCCAGAATTTGATCCCAAGAGCTGAATTTCTTGGGAAGTGATGACAACAGCTATTGGTTGAGAACATTCTCAACTGGAGGGAGCATCCTGGGTAGGGAGTCAGCCACTCTGGGCCCAGGGGCTTGGGATAGCATTGGAACCTGTGCTGTGCCAAAAATTCTTCCTTTTTTTTTCTCTTTTCTTTTAGAGACAGGGTCTCACTGTGTTGCCCAGGCTGGAATGCAGTGGCGCGACCATTGCTCCCTGCAGCTTTGAACTCCTGGGCTCAAGCGATCCTCCTGCTTCACCTCCCAAAATACTGAGATTATGGGCACCAGGCACCGTGGCTCGCCCTCAATTTGTTCCTAACATGGCTGGGGAGGTCTGCTGGTCTGACCTCTGTGAGCCTCCCTGGCCTTGTCTTATGCCACGCCCTGCTTTCCCTCCATCTCCGAGCTGTGGCCATGCTGGTCTCTCAGTTTCTCAAGCGTGCCAGCCTCCTTTTACCTCTCCAAGCCTTTGCACGTGCTGTTCCCTCAGCCTTGAAATCACTTCCCTCTTTGCCTGAGAAACTTTAGGCCTCAAGTTAAATGTCACTTCTTCTGGGAGACCAGGCTTAGAGCTTTTCCCAGGCTAGTTCATAACATGTGCTACATATCTGTAGCTCTCATGGCAAGTGTAACGAATCCTGTGCACTTGTTTAAAACCACTTCTCCCTGCCAGTCTGTAAATCATGCCTGTCCAGATCATTGTTATGTCCTCAGCATCCAGAACAGGGCTTGACAAATAGTAGGTGCTCAATAAATGGCTCCAGAATGAATAATGAATGAATGGACCTTGTGGCTCAAGGGAGGATACCAGTAACTGCAAGTTATGCATTATGCACAAGCTCTTCAAAGAGAGGCAGCCTCCAGAAGACTAAAGACCATGAACTTGAAGCCCTACAGTTCTTCGTTTGAATCCTGACTCTACTTCCCAGGGTGGGGTATTTGGAATCCTTTATTTTTCCTTCTCATCTGGGTTGTAACAATCACTGTTCCTTATAGTCATACGACCCTGACATATTATACATTTATTTACTTATTGGACATTAATCCCTCTCTAAAATGTGAGCCCTGTGAGCATCAGAGACCTTAACTGTCTTGTTCTTTGCTGAATCCCTAGCGTCAAGAATGTACCTGGAAATAGCTGGGTGTGGTGGAGGGCGCCTGTAATCCTAGCTAATAGGGAGGCTGGGGCATGAGAATCTCTTGAACCCGGGAGGCAGAGGCTACAGTGAGCCGAGATTGCACCACTGCACTCCAGCCTGGGTGACAGAGCTAGATCCCATCTAAAAAAAAAAAAAAAAATGTATCTAGAACACAGTAGGTACTGAGTAAAGATTTGCTGAGTGAAGGAATGAATGAGGCTGTGATACTTGCAGCATGTTGTATTCAAAAGCTTCCAGCATGGCTGGGTGCAGTGACTCATCATGCCTGTAATCTCAGTGGTTTGGGAGGCTGAGGCTGGAGAGTCACTTGAGCCCAGGAGGTTGAGGGTGCAGTGAGCTATGATTGTGCCACTCGGCAACAGAGACCTTGTCTCAAAAAGAAACAAGACAAACAAAAAACCAGGATGGGCCGGGCAGAGTGACTTATGCCTGTAATCCCAGCATTTTGGGAGGGCGAGGTGGGTGGAGGTCAGGAGTTCGAGACCAGCCTGGCCAACAGGGTGAAACCCCATCTCTACTAAAAATACAAAAATTAGCCGGGCGTGGTGGCAGGTGCCTGTAATCCCAGCTACTGGGGAGGCTGAGGCAAGAGAATCGCCTGAACCCAGGAGGTGGAGGTTGCAGTGAGCCAAGATCACACCATTGCACTCCAGCCCAGGCAACAAGAGCGAAACTCCATCTCAAAACAAACAACAACGAAAAAACAAAAACAAAAAACCAGGATGGGGAGCAGTGCTCTGCTACCCTGCTGAAAGCCTTTTTGTTGTTGTTGTTTTTTCTTTTGAAGACAGGGCCTCACTCTATTGCCCAGGCTGGAGTACACTGGAGGGATTGTGGCTCACTGCAACCTCGAACTCCTGGGCTCAAGCAATTCTCTCATCTCGGCCTCCCGCGTACCTGGGACTACAGGTGTGCCACCATGCCTGGCTAGTTTTTTAAATTTTTATAGAGAATGGGTCTCCCTATGTTGTTCAGGCTGGTCTCGAACTCCTGGGCTCAGCAATCCCCCTGCCTTGGCCTCCCAACATGCTAGGATTACAGGTGTGAGCCACCATGTTCGACCTTGCTCCCCATCCTTGTACCGTGTAGGCTGGGGTAAGCTGTGTGCCAACATCCTCACCATGGGTGGCACTTGTGGTCCAACAGCCAGTGTCCCTTGGCTCATGGATGTTTATCATGCCTTCTCACTGGCCTTTATTCTTCCAGAATCTCCATCTTCTTTTGTGCACTGTGGCCAGAAGGATACATCTTCCTAACCCACACATATAATCCTGCTCCTGCCTGGCTCAGAGACCCCCCCATGACTCCCCAGTGCCCTCAGAGTCAAGTCCCAAGACCTTGGCTTGGCCTTCAAGGTCCTCGCTAACCTCTTCAGCTGCCCCTTCCACCCTGTGATCTGTGAACCTCTCCCCCTGTGGGGGCTGCTCTCTGCTTGGCCTCTTTTTCCTTCTGGTCTACTTGGTGAGTTCCCACCTGTCTTCTGACATTCATCAGGCATCACTTTTTTCTTTTCTGCTTTTCTTTTTCAGAGATGAGATCTCACTCTGTTGCCCAGGCTGGAGTGCAGTGTGCAATCATAGCTCACTGTAGCCTCGAACTCCTGGGTTCAAGCGATCTTCCCACCTCAGCTTCCTGTGTAGCTGGAACTACAGGCGCATGCCACCACGCTCAGCTAATTTTTAAATTTTTTTGTAGAGATGAAGTCTTTCTATGTTGCCCAGGTTGATCTCCAACACCTGGGCTCAGCGATCCTCCTGCCTAGGCCTCCCAAAGCACTGGGATTACAGGTGTGAGCCAACACACCCAACCTAGGAGTCACCTCTTCTAATGAATAATAGAAATAAGCCTTTAGTCTGCAGTCTTTCACATGCCTCCTTCCTTCCCTCCCTTCCTTCTTTCCTTCTTTTTTTTTTCCCTTTCTCTCTCCCTCTCTCTTTTTTTTTTTGAGACAGAGTCTCGCTCTGTTGCCAGGCTGGAGTGCAGTAGCGTGATCTCGGCTCACTGTAACCTCCACCTCCCAGGTTCAAGCAATTCTCCTGCCTCAGCCTCCTGAGTAGCTGGGACTACAGGCACGCGCTACCATGCCTAGCTAATTTTTGTATTTTTATTAGAGACGAGGTTTCACCATGCTGGCCAGGATGGTCTTGATCTCTTGACCTTGTGATCCTCCTGCCTCTGCCTCCCAAAGTGGTGGGATTATAGGCATGAGCCACTGCGCCCAGCCTCTTTCACTCCTTCCTTCCTTCCTTCCTTCCTTCCTTCCTTCCTTCCTTCCTTCCTTCCTTCCTTCCTTCCTTCCTCTCTCTCTCTCTCTTTCTTTCTTTCTTTTCTTTCTTTCTCTCTCTCTTTCTTTCTTTCTTTCTTTCCTTCTTTTTCTTTCTTTCCTTTCCATCTTTCCCTCCCTCCTTCCCTCCCTCCCTCCCTCCCTCCCTCCCTTCCTTCCTTCCTTCCTTCCTTCCTTCCTTCCTTCCTTCCTTCCTTCCTTCCTTCCTTCCTTCCTTCCTTCCTTCCTTCCTTCTTTCTCTCTTTCTTTCCTTCCTTCTCTCACTCCTTCCCCCTCTCCCTTACTTCCTTCCTCCTTCCTTCCTTTTCTTTTTTTCTCTTTTTTTTTTTTGAGACAGGGTCTCAGTCTGTTGCCCAGGCTGGAATGCAATGGCATGATCATAGCTCACTACAGCCTTGACCTCCTGGGCTTAAATGATCCTCCCATCTCAGCCTCCCAAATAGCTGATACTACAGGTGCATGCCATGATGCCCAGCCAATTTTTGTAATATATATATATTTAGACAGAATCTTGCTCTGTCACACAGGCTGGAGTGCAGTAGTGCAATGTCCCCTTACTGTAACCTCTGCCTCATGGGTTCAAGCGATTCTTGTGCTTCAGCCTCCTGAGTAACTCGGATGACAGGCCTGAGCCATCATGCCCAGCTACCTTTTATATTTTTAGTAGAGACGGGGTTTTGGCATGTTGCCCAGACTGGTCTCCAACCCCTTGGCTCAAGTAATCTTGCCTGCCTTGGCCCCCCCCAGGTACTGGAATTACCGGCGTGAGCCACCATGCCCAGCCCACGTGCATTATTTCTAAGCCTTATAGCAATCCCTCTGAGATGGGGAATTGTGGCCCCACTTTGTAAATGAGAAGATAGGTTCAGAGAGGTGGAAGGGCTTGTCCA